TTAAATTTAGGGTTACTGCCATTCAATGTTAACTGGCTGTTTTATCCATTCGTTGATGTCAATTCTTCTTTATGTTGATGCTCTTTACTTTTTGGTATATTTTTAGAAAGGCTCATACAGGTTGTTCCTTTCTATGTATAATGCTTCTTTCAGAAGTTCTTGTAAAGCAGGCCTGGTGGTAATAAAATCTCTGAGTACTTGCTTGTTCATAAAAGATTTTATTTTTCCTTCAATTGTGAAGCTTAGTTTGGCAGGATATGAGATTCTAGGCTGAAAGTTCTGTTCTTTAAGTATGTTGAATATTGGCCCCCACTCTCTTCTGGCTTGTAGAGTTTCTGCTGAGAGATCTGCTGTAAGTCTAATAGGCTTCCCTTTATGGGTAACCTGGCCTTTCTCTCTGGCTGCCCTTAGTATTTTCTCCTTCATTTCGATCCTGGTGAATCTAACGATTATGTGCCTTGGGGTTGCTCTTCTTGAGGAATATCTTTGTGGTGTTCTCTGTATTACCTGGGGTTGAATAGTGTCCTGCTTTGCTAGATTGGGAAAATTTTCCTGGATAATATTCTGAAAAGTATTTTCCAGCTTGGATTCATTCTCTCCATCACATTCAGGTACACCAATCAAACGTAGATTGGGTCTTTTCACATAGTCCCATATTTCTTGGAGACTTTGCTCATTCTTGGAGGAGAGAGATCCAAGATGGCTGATCACTAACAGCTCAGGATTGTAGCTCCCAGTGAAAGCTCAAAGAATGAGAGGACGCCACACTTTCAGACGAATTTTCACCGCTCACAGACCAGCAGATTTCTAGTGGAGGAGCCCCACGGGTCGCCAGCACGACTCTTGTGGCCGGTGCAGTGGTTTTGCCAGCGCCTTGGCACAGCAGCTCTTCATGCAGAGTAAACAGGACTGGTTCCCTTAGTGACTGGTGTTTGGAGCTCCGAGAAGGCAGAGCCACTTGTTGTGGACTCAAGAAGGAAGCCAGACCAGGGATTCCTGGGCAGAAGAGCACCATCAGTCTTATCGATGCTATTTTGGCCGGTGCAGTGGGTTGCTTGAATCCCAGCACTGGGAATCAATAAATTGGACGTTGGCTCAGAAACCTAATTAGAAAGGCGGTAATTGTAAAGATGAAAGATGGATAAATTTATAATAAAGGGAAAAAAACAGCCTAAGAAGGCCGAGCATACCCAAAATCAGAACCCCTCTCCCTCTACAGGGGATTGCAGTTCCTCATCAGCAACGGAAAAGCCCTGATGGAAAAGGACTGTGTTCCATTATCTGAAGTAGGCTTCAGAAGGTGGGTGATAAGAAACTTCTGGGAATTAAAAGAACTTGTTCTAACCCAATGTAAAGAAACTAAGAACTTTGAAAAAAGATTTGATGAAATGCTGAAAAGAATAGACAATATAGAGAGGAATATAAATGAACTAATGGAGTTGAAAAATACAACACTAGAACTTAGTGAAATATGCACAAGTTTAAATAGCAGAATGGATCAAGCAGAAGAAAGGATATCAGAGCTCGAAGACCAACTTAATGAAATAAAACAAGACAAGAATAGAGAAAAAAGGATGTATCATGTTTTAATAATAAAATAAGCAACACTCTCTATTGTAAGTTCCATATGACCAATGGATTCTCACAGAATGCTTTTGTGAATTTTTGCCAAACTCTGTGTCTATAGTGAGTTTATCATTGCAGTTCAACTATAATTTGACAAAAGGCCGTGTTTGGCAACAGCTTGTGAAACTTTTGAAAATTTTTAAACTGGGACCCAGTAGGAGCCCTTGGGACCCAGTAGAAGCTGGGTCCAGTATCCCACCGATGCAAACCCTTGTGCGGGCCCACAAGAACAGGGGCTGTGCTTGTCTGTCTGTGTCTGCAGCACTCTTCACAGGCCAACCCGGTCAGCCAGTCACAGTTCAGCATCAAGCTGTTCCCTGAATTGGACCTGCTTGCCTTAAATCACCCAAAGAAGAAAGCCAAGCAAGCAGGATCTGATAAAGTAGAAGCAGGTGTCCACAGGGAGCAGGGCCAGGGACTGACGGTGGCAGGTGGTGGCAGCCAATAAGACTCCCTAGACTTAGTGGTTCAGAGCCTGGAGAGAAGCAGCGGGAAGGGAATAGGGAGAGTGGGAGCCAGAGAGGGCATTCCTGGTGAAAGGGATGGCACCAGGAAAGGCACAGGACAAAGGGCTCCTTTCCCGGCATGCAGACCACTCTTAGATACCGTCACTAAACCAATGTTTATTGTCCACTGCATGTGAAGCACTGTTCTAAGTTAAACAAAGTCCCTGCTCTCATGGATATTAAATTCTACCAGGTAAGAGATCCAATATACAGCAAATAAGAACCCTCCATGGTGGAGGATGTTATGAGCCAACAGCTTTTGTTTCAATATAAGGAAAAACTTAATGTGGAGCCTAATCCCCAGGGATGTTAAACATGTCCTTCTCAAAGAAAAGTCAAGTATGGCTAAGCAAAGAAAACCAGGTCCCTTTCACGCTCCGCTTCTCAGGGCCCTGCTGCTCATGGCCATCATGAATCACCAGCAGGAGATGATGGGCTGTAGTGCTTGTCATGCTTTATAGATGGAAGAAAAAGAAATGAGTGGGGCTCCTAGATAGAGAGCCAGAAGGTCTGACATCCTGGGCAGCCAGTGTGGGGATGTTAGAGTAGGTAGTCAGGCAGACATGAGTAGGGCAGGAGAGGGCTCCCTCCCACCAGCAATGTCCAGTGACCATCGGGTGATGGTTAGGCAGTTGTCATACTGTCTCTCTAAAATAACAACTGGTCACAGCTGGTGCCAGGGAAGGGCAGTCTCCCAATAGATAGAAAACACCTGGGCTGGGAGCAGTGGCTCAAGCCTGTCATCCCAACACTCTGGGAGGCCAAGGAGGGCAGATCATGAGATCAAGAGATCGAGACCATCCTGGCCAACATGGTGAAATCCCATCCCTACTAAAAAATATAAAAATTAGCTGGGTGTGGTGGTGAGCACCTCTAGTCCCAGCTACTCAGGAGGCTGAGGCAGGAGAATCACTTGAACCCAGGAGGCAGAGGCTACAGTGAGCCAAACTGCAAACTATCACACCACTGCACTCCAGCCTGGCGACAGAGCAGGAGTCTGTCTCAAAACGAACAAAAACAAAACAAATTTTTTTAAAAACCCATCTGAAGCTGGTGATCAGCAGCAGCTTCCCGATAAGATCTCAGGAGTTGGGCGAGTGGGCTCGTGCTTGGGCTCCCAGAGGCAAAATGGCCAAGTTTAACTGGCCTATGACCTTCCTCTAGGAACACTTGACTGATAAGGTAATAATGCCTCAAATGAGCATGTGCACAACTTCAGTAAACACCCTGCATATGCGACCCCTCCTCAGTGCTGGCAGGCCACTGTGCATACTAATAGCTCACCCTAAGGGAAGAATCAGGGGAGAAGAAACGCAAACTCTGGAACCTTCCAATGTATAAAACCCCAAGTCAAGGACCGAACAGTGCACCTGGATCTCTCAAGATTCCCATTTGGCCCTCTAACAAGTGTACTTTACTTCCTTTCATTCCTGCTCTAAAACTTTTTAATAGACTTTCACTCCTGCTCCAAAACTTGCCTCAGTCTCTCCCACTTCCTTATGCCCCTCAGTAGAATTCTTTCCTCTAAAAAGGCAAGAATCGAGTTGCTCCAAACTGGTATGAATTCACCACTACTAACAAGAATATTACTTCAATATCTGGGATCCTGAGACCTGAATAGGGGAAATCAGAGGAGGTGGAAGCCTGTTCCAGAAGCTTCTATTTCTGTCAGCCCAGCTGCTGCTTCTCTGCATTGTCCACAACCCCCGAGTCCCCAAGAGAAATTAATCCCCCAGTGGCACTTGCCCAGGATAAGAGCTCCTGCCTGGGTCTTTCTTGTCACAGGGGCTGATCCCCATGCTATGGAGAAGTAACCCAGGCTTGGAAAACATGCCACCTGTTTCTGAGCAGACTCCTGAGAGAGCAGTTGGAGCCTCCAGAGAGCTCACAATAAGACACAGCTCCAGATGACCTAAGAACTGGCAGATTCATTAGGCTTCGTCAGGTACTTCTAAACCATCCCATCAGGTCACCAGGGATCCTGCAACGTGCCTTGGGAGGCACTGAGAGAGGTGACCAGCAGCTGAGGGACAGGGCTTCAGCAAATCCTGGCCTGAGCCACACAGTCCCCTCTGCTCTCTACTGAGCCTCTGCACGGAAAGGTTCATCTGATCCATAAGAAGAAAAACATATTTGCAACACACGGAGGGCTCCGGCCTTTGCCTCTGGTCCCTCCAGACATACAGCCATCTCCTAAACTACTCTCCCTTAATAATAGTCCTCTGACTTCTCCATGAACTTGACAGTTGACTTCACCCACTCAGGCCTGCCTGTCTCCCAGTTCTGGAAAAGGGAGGCAGATGGAGGAGAAAACTCAGACCCAGCAAGGAGAAGGAACCGCAGCTGGTATCAGAGCAGGGGTAGCCCCGGACAAGCACTGTGTCAGCGGCTACACAATCCGAACGTCCCCTCCGACAGCCCTGCCATCCCTCGCTCCCAGCTCACAGTCCCAGCCCACCTCAGAGCTGCTGCCCAGGAACTCATGAAAACCCCTCTGTGCTTTTTGGCCCTGCTGCTTAGTTCCACACACGGCACATTTTACCAGTTTTTTTGAGCCAGCCCTGAATGACAACCATTTTCCCAGGATTAAAAATCCCTTTAACTGATCCTTCATGCCACACAGGCTGAGCCTGGGAAAAACATCCGGGAGGCACATCTGGTCCACCAGCCGACCTCCCTCATAGACTGGCCTTCATGGGCATGAGCCCCAGTTCCTGCCACACCACCAGGAATGTGGCTTTGGGGCCCAGCCCTGCCCAAGAAGCTTACTCCACTGAATAATCCTAGTGCCTGGAGAAAGTCAGCAAACGTCTCTGAGCCTGTTTCTGCTTCTTTGCAATGTGGGGAAAACACACCCTATTAACTCACCTAACCATGCAAGGCAGTAGCTAAAAGACAGTCAGAATCCTTAGTGAAGGCAGAGCATCTGCAGTCATTCCAAGTGTCCGTTCTCTTGCAAGATTGAGAGGTACAAATGCATATTGTTAAGTTTGGGGGCAGGCTCAGATAGTCTCAGTTCAATTCCTCTTTCTTTCCTTCAGCAGCCACCCAGAAGACAGCCTGGTCTTGACAGAGGCTTTGGCCATGGTGATTTTCACAGAAGCTCTAGATAGTCACCCCTTATCTCTCTTGGCAATAAAGTTGCTGAGGATTAATTAGCAAAGGAGGGAAAGTATAACCGAGGCCCGGCATCTTCTAGAGGACAGATGGCGGTGGCGACAGGGCCCATGGGGTGGGGAAGGGGGTCAGCCATGTGAGCGGCTCCATTCCTGTGAGGGGCACCAGCAGCAGACCTCCCTGGAGCCAGCCAGTCCGGCCAGACTGATTAAGCCAATTCACTCTTTATCTGAGACAAGCAGATAAGGCTGTGGCCAAGAGGGGTGGCTATGGGATGTGCCAAGCAGGAAGGAGACCCAAGAACACTGTAGCTGATGAAGAGGGGAGGGAAGAACAGAGAGAGTTCTCTCGTGAGCCTCCTTTGTGGATTTCAAATGGTGTCCAGTCAAGACAGCGCTGAGCTTCCCGATATGCCCCACCTGAGTACCTGAGGCTGATTGTTCTCCAACACTAGAGAGCATCAGAATCACCTGGGGGGCTCCTAAAACACAGGTGGTGGGCCCCCACCCCAGGTCCTGCTTCAGCAGGTCAGGAAGGGACTAAGAATTTGCATGTCTAACAGATTTCTTGGTGACATTGATGCCACTGATTGGAGCACCAGACTTTTAGAACTGCTGCCATAGGTCCTTGACAAAACCTACCTGTCCAGCCCCTCCCCAGTCTCCTTAGGCTATTCCTCAAATCCATCTCCCTCATTACTCCGGAGACCCTACTTCCAAGAAAGCCCCTAATGAGGAGGGATGGCCGTCTCTCTCCTCACAATCTAGGGCGGTATGGGCACTGAGATATGGAACCCTCTTTGGCTCCACTTTCTTTATTTTAGGGTAAACTAAGCAATATTTCTTTTCTTTTTCTTCTCTTTTCTTTTCTCTTCTTTTGTCTCTCTCTCTTTTTTTTTTTTTTTTCCTGAGACAGAGTCTCACTCTGTTGCCCAGGCTGGAGTGCAGTGGTGCTATCTCAACTCACTGCAATCTCCGACTCCTGGGTTCAAGCAATTCTCCTGCTTCAGCCCCTCAAGTTGCTGGGATTACAGGTGTGCGCCACCACACTCAGCTGATTTTTGCATTTTTAGTAGAGATGGGATTTCATTGTGTTGGCCAGGCTGGTCTCAAACTTCTGGCTTCAAATGATCTACCCACCTAGGCCTCCCAAAGTGCTGGAATTACAGGCATGAACCACTGCGCCCAGCCCTAAGCAATTTTTCAACAAGCCCCTTTCCACACTGAAGTTTGCCAAATCCATGGAAGGGAAAAGAACACCAAGCTTCACCTGGGAGCCCAGCTGGGGCTGGCTCTATTCTTCCCATTCATCTGGACATTGGATTAGACAGATGACTTCGTTTTGAACATCTGCTTGCATCTAAACCCCTAAACACATGTCTGAAGACTTTCAGTTGTCAACTCCCTCATTTTCCTCCTGTCTGCTTTCTTCTCTTTGCTTCCTCCCTAGACTTAAGATTTAAGCAGAATTTTACTCTGCAGATGTTTGATCCATTTTTTTAATACATCAACTGGCCACCTTTTGCCTGGGACACTCTGGTGCCCTCCCAGAATAGAATCTTGTCCACAACCATCTCCCTGACAGTCTTCCAGATGCTGCCCCAGCCAGAATCAGTCCCCAAGGCTGCACCGGAAGCCACCTGTTGCCTGGTCCCAGCCTCAGCCTAAATCACAGTGGGGATTCCTGGCAAGAGGCTCAGTGCCTGCCCTCTGAATTTCTAGTGAGATCTCTGGCACCCACACCAAGGCTTTGTAAAACTCCACAAATTTTTCTGAGGAAGAAGTGGGCCTACACGCAGAAAACCGACATCCCATCAAAATTCCTGCTTTTAAATGAAAGCCTCAGGGTCCCACAAGGGAGAAATGGGCAGACTCCTGCATGGGCTAGAATGCTGTGGGTCTTGGGTCTCCATATATAAGTTGCTCAATGAGAACCCCCCTCTGTCCAGGTATTCTGCCAGACACATGTGCTTTCTTTCACTTGACTGTCACCAGCAAATTATGGAGCTGGCCAAAGGCAGGTTCCCCTAACACTGCTGGTGAGAAAAGCTGAGATCCCCAGAGGAAAAATAGCACGCTCAGTGTTGCACAGCTAGTTCTTGGTGGAGCGGGAAGAGGGCTGGGGTTCACTTGAACGTCTCACTTTGCTTTGCCACAGGTTGCTAGCCCTGGGTGCTATTGCCTGACTCAGATGTGACTGCATGTGCCAGGGCCAGCCTGCCCTGGCCATGTCCCTACTCTGTAACCAGACACAGCCATGAAGGACACCAAGGAGGGGGCAAGGGAGCAGAAAAGATATACAAAGGGATTTGAGCGGATTTGGTTACAAAGTTGCACCAGCCATTTCCTGGAACCTAATGGGAGCCAGTTCTGAGAACTTGAAGGGGTGGGGTAGGGGAGGAGGGAGGGGGAAAAAAGGCACATGACTGGCTTACAGGGTGTGCAGTGGGGAGGAGAGATGGGCCCTGCTCTTGTGGCCAGCAGCCAGGCAGGCCAGGCTCCTGGAGGCAGGAAGGGGCCTGAGACATATCTCTCCCCAGCCCTCAAATGATTTCTGCACCCTAGGGTAAGCCAACAGGCCTTCCAGTAAAGTTCCTCTCAAGCCTCCTTCCCAATCTCACCCTGGGCCTGGACAGCCTGGAGGGTTGATGAACTTCTCCAAGGCTGGTAAGGACAAAAGGGAGCAAAGGTTGCTGGTCCACCCAGATGCCTTTACCCCAGGAGACAGACAACCCTGTGATGCTGCTTCCTGCCTTGTCTTCCAGGCCTTCCTGCCCCTTTCCTCTTGCCTCCACAACCCTCTCTTCTCTTCCTCTCTCCCTCTGCTTCTGCCTTCACATTCTTCTTTCTGTATGGCTTCTCTGCCTCTGCCTTCCTCTACTACCCGTTTTCTTTTTTTTTTTTTTTAATTTTTTATTGGATTTTAGGTTTTGGGGTACATGAGCAGAGCATGCAAGACAGTTGTGTAGGTACACACATGGCAGTGTGCTTTGCTTCCCTTCTCCCCTTCACCCACATTTGGCATTTCTCCCCAGGCTATCCCTCCCCACCTCCCCCTCCCACTGACCCTCCCCTTTTCCCCCCAATAGACCCCAGTGTTTAGTACTCCCCTTTCTGTGTCCATGTGTTCTCATTTTTCATCACCCGCCTATGAGTGAGAATATGCGGTGTTTCATTTTCTGTTCTTGTGTCAGTTTGCTGAGGATGATGTTCTCCAGATTCATCCATGTCCCTACAAACAACACAAACTCATCATTTCTGATTGCTGCGTAATATTCCATGGTGTATATGTGCCACATTTTTCCAATCCAGTCTATTATCAATGGGCATTTGGGTTGATTCCAGGTCTTTGCTATTGTAAACAGTGCTGCAATGAACATTCGTGTACATGTGTCCTTATAGTAGAACGATTTATAGTCCTTTGGATATATACCCAGTAATGGGATTGCTGGGTCAAATGGAATCTCTATTTCTAAGGCCTTGAGGAATCGCCACACTGTCTTCCACAATGGTTGAACTAGTTTACACTCCCACCAACAGTGTAAAAGTGTTCCTTTTTCTCCACATCCTCTCCAGCATCTGTTGTCTCCAGATTTTTTAATGATCGCCATTCTAACTGGCGTGAGATGGTATCTCAATGTGGTTTTGATTTGCATCTCTCTGATGACCAGTGACGATGAGCATTTTTTCATGTTTGTTGGCCTCATATATGTCTTCTTTTGTAAAGTGTCTGTTCATATCCTTTGCCCACTTTTGAATGGGCTTGTTTGTTTTTTTCCTGTAAATCTGTTTGAGTTCTTTGTAAATTCTGGATATCAGCCCTTTGTCAGATGGGTAAACTGCAAAAATTTTTTACCCGTTTTCTAGTTCCACATTGCATAATGCCCAGTTGCGGACAAATGCAGAACCTCATCCTGAACCCCTGTCCACGCCTGAGCAAGTGGGGTCTGGAGCTAAGAGTCACAATGGGGCCTTCACTTCCCACGAGTGGTTCAGCAGCCTCCTGCACCCTTGCTCTCACTTTCTCTAAGCCTCATTTCTGCCAGGAGGGCCATGCCTGCTAGACCCAGTCACCCACATGGGGGGAACGCAGCAACCCCCTATTTTTCCAATCAGCCCCCCACCCCATTATCACACACTTTATTTGCCCTCTTCCTTTCCTTTCCCTGTTACCCACAGGACCAAGGAAAGATGGGGACCACTCACCTACCTGTTCTACCTCTGTGATAGCTGCCTGCATTGGCATGCAAAACACCAAATCAAAAGGCAAGACAAGGAAGCTTCACCCACTAGACCACAGGCTCCTTGAGGGAAGGGCCCAATGACTTTAGATGTTGTGCAGGAAAGCCACCGTGACTTTGTGGCTGAATATATTTATTACCTTTATTTGGAGTTGCACCAGTGTTTTTGTCCTCCTAGGCCCATGTATTACTTCCATTCTTTAAAGGTTGAGCGAGCCATGTTGTTAATACTGAGGCATGAATTAGTAACTCTTGCATACTTGGTTACTCCCAAACCAACATATTTTCAACTGGGACCATCTGGGAAAATCTGTGGTGTAAAGGAGATTATGCATACTACCCCCAGTTGGGTCTGGGAGAGATATGGAGTAGGCATTCAGATAAGGTGTGTCCAACTGCTTAGTCGTTTTGCTAAAGAAATCAAGACAACATGAGTGGAAAGCCAAAGGGGATGGAAAGCCAAATGTCATGACTAGCTCTCCCTGCAGATCACCCATCAACACTCCTCCTACTGTCTGACATCCTATTATTAGTTGTAGATTTAGCTAAAAATTAAACCAAGTCAGATGTCTCTTCTTGGAGAAGCCCACAGACAGGGTGCCATCTCAGGATCATCTAAAGCTAGTACTGGAAAACTAGTCACAAGCATGGTCAAGATGAGTCCCTTTCTTTAGCAAACAAATCTTTTTGTCTCAACCCTGACTTATTCTTGGTGCCTGCTGGGTGGTGTATACAGTGACTGAGTCATATATATAGTATGACTTTTTCTTTTTTTTTTTTGAGATGGAGTCTCGCTGTGTCACCCAGGCTGGAATGCAGTGGCGTGATCTTGGCTCACTGCAACCTCTGCCTCCCGAGTTCAGGTGATTCCCCTGCCTCAGCCTCCCGAGTAACTGGGACTACAGGAACGCACCCCCATGCCTGGCTAATTTTTTCTTTCTTTTCTTTTCTTTTTTTTTTTTGTATTTTAGTAGAGATGAGGTTTCATGATGTTAGCCAGGATGGTCTCGATCTCCTGACCTCGTGATCTACCCACCTCGGCCTCCCAAAGTGCTGGGATTACAGGTGTAAGCCACCACACCCAGCCTATAGTATGACTTTTGAGAATGATATCAGTATAAGATGCCCATAGAGAAGCAAAGTAAAGACCCATCCAAGTTCCTTGGCCTTGCGTCTAAGGCTCCCTGAAGTAGTATGTGCTTCTGGAATTGCCTTGACCATGCTTGTGACTAGTTTTCCATCCTGAAAAGCCCTGTCTATCTTTCCAGCTCACTCTCCTCTGATAAACTTTCTGATTGTCCTTAACTTTATTAACATTTCCCTTCCTGGAACTCTCAAAGCACCAGGCCTGAATGACCCATCTGGCCCCCGCAGCCTGTCAGTATGATAAGTTGGCTTTTTATACGTCCAGTTGGCTTTTGATATGTTCCACTTTACATAGTGGAAGCCATCATCTCTGTGCAGGCCCCCCAGGAGGTTCTGTGCACACTCCTCCACTTTCGTTGTGCTTTCTCACGACCCCTATGCGTGGCTTTTCTTTGGAGGGCTACCTTTGGCCTCCTGGAGCCACTTCACTTGCATACAAGCAAAGAACCTGATATGCCTCATGGTATAACCTATAAACTCATGGGGTAACTCCTGACTCCCTTGTTCCAGGCCCTATATTAGTCAGGATGTAGTCTCAGGCAACAAACCACTCCAGTTATTTTAACAGAGAGAATTTAATATAAGGAATTATTAACATTATTAAGATTAGAAAAGGCTGAAGAGGATGTTAAGGTATTGAAGAGGTAGCAATTATAAGCAGCTAATATCCTTAGCCTAGAGGAACACAAGGGAGCATTAGAATTAACAAAACTTAAAAGCGTGGAGGAAGACACTGACAGAGCTGATATGCATTCCTTAGAAAAGGAGCTGTTTCTCTACTGGGGCTGAAGGGGATAACTCACCGTGCTGGGACCCAGACCCCTGAGCCAGATGAAGGCTGATGGAGTTTCTGGGTGAGAACAATGGACCTAGTTCTACAAGTGTTGGCAAAACTGCACACTGGTATCCCTGGCTGCTTGTGGAAGGAATGGCCACTGCCAGGATGAAGCAGCATTGCTAAGTGATACTGATGGGAGCAGAAAGCATAATGAGGAACAGAAAGCAAGCAGGAAGGAGCACTAGCCAGGCCAAAGTAGAGGCTGCCTTACAGATACGGAATTAAATCTATTCACCTACAGAGACACTAGAACCATATTACCGCCATGCATATGAATTCCAAGCACAGCTTGAAATTAACAGAGGGCAAAGCCAAAACTGAAAGAGATCTTCTTGCTCATACTCTGATGCCCATACTCAGGAATGGAACTGTTCTCTTTCATTTGTATGGGTTAGTTTATTCTGGGAAACTGTAAAGAAGATGTCTGCTTAAGACACTTAGCCAAGTAGGACCTAAAATATGGAAACCGCAGACCATCCCAAATAGAGAGGATCTCAGGGCTTGGCTATTACAACCTCCCCCTCTCCTCCCACCCACTAGCAGACGTTAACAGATAAGGAAACAGAATCACAGAGGGACCAAGTGATCAAAGAGTGGCCAGGACTAGCCCTGGAACTGGAGTCATTCTTTTGTTTAACAAGTGTTTATTGATCATCTATTGCTCTGGCCACAGATCTAGGTTCTTGGAAATACCAGTGAATAAAAGTCCCAGGAAATTGGGAAACTTAAAATGTAAGCTATACTGTGTCAAAGAGGTTTTGTCTGTATCTCTTCTTACTAAGGTGCTCTCTCTTTATTACTTTAGGAGGCCTTGATTTTTCACTTACATTATCTGCAGACCTCATCACGAAACAAACCATTTCTAGGGAGTCGTTGTGCTTAAAAGGGGAAGTCTGGGGAGGCAATAGAACACAGTGCAATAGAAACTGCATGTTTTCCCCATGCTCCACTGGCCCCCATAGTTCTGGAAACTCTAGGACCATACCAATTTCAAACATCCTGCTCTTGTGACTAGTATAAACTAAGAACCTTGTTTCTGGATTGTTGGGCATGTATGTCCATATTCATATTCCCCTTGGAAAGAGACTGGTGCCACGCCTGAGTGTCACAGCAGCTCCCCCTGCTGCACTGGAGGAATGACCTGTCTTAGACACTGGCGGGGGATCAACTGGCTTGGAAATGAGTTCACTTAACTCTTCCATGAAAACAACAAACTTTTTTTTTCCTTTTTTGCTTTAATTTCTGGGATACATGTGCAGAATGTGCAAGATTGCTACATAAATGTTTACACGTGCCATGGTGGTTTGCTGTGCCCATCAACCTGTTGTCTAGGTTTTAAGCCCCACATGCCTTGGGTATTTGTGCTAATGCTCTCCCTCCCCTTGCCCCCTACCCCCAACAGGCCCCAGTATATGATGTTCCCCTCCCTGTGCCCATGCATTCTCATTGGAAAACAACAAACTTTTAAGAGATCTTACGGGAAACCTCAGAGATAATGGAGGAGCCAGGGTTTATTTTGGGGCCTGTAAGTTTTTACGTCTATTTTTCACATTTCCAATGATACCAGGCCCATTTATTGTTGGTGAGAAGCATAAAGGGGCTTTGAGCGAATAAAATAAGAGAAGCAAAGAGATAAAAAGGAAGACAGATAAGGCATTCGAAAATATACATGTGGCTGCATTTCACCCTTCACCTGAGTTCAAACCCAGAAGCGTGGCTTGTGCTCACTAATCCAGGAGATGAACCAAAATTTAGGTTATTCTGTCTTTGTTTTTCCCTCTTTCTCTTGATCTCCACTTTTATATTTTTTCCTCTGATTTTGTTGTTTAACTCCCGGGAAACAAAAAGGAACAAAAAGAAGCTGGGTCTCTTCCAATTCTAACAATCCGCTGTTTAAGCCTTATCTTTGTCAGAACTTCTACAAGGCACTTGGTCATGTGAATTAAACTTCCAAGGTTCTAATATGTACCTGGGTTATCATTCCCCACATAATCATGGAAATTGGAA